CACAGTCCCCCAGCATCCCAGCATGCTTTCCAGCTCTGTGCTGGGCTGGACTGTCTGTTCCGGAGAGCAAGGCTGGCCCCACCCCATGCTTGTAGCTGGAACAGTGAGGGCGGGCTGACAAGTGGGTGGGGGAGGCTAGCCCAGCTGGGGATGCAGCCCAGTGTACAGGGGGGGACTACCCCCCCCCCAGACAAACCCCACCTGGGGTCTGGCGCCGGGGGTGGGGGGGTAGGGAGGATAATCACTCCTTCCCCGCTCAAATTTACTGTCAGCTGCAACTGTGAACTACAAATCCCAGAGGCACTTGGAAGCAGGAAAAGGAAGTGATGAATAACTCTGCAGAGTCCTGCTACTGTAATTCTAGACTGCAAATCCAAAAGATCTCAGGGGCAGCAGGAAGAGGAAGTGAACACAAAGCCAAAGAGCCATGCTGTAGCTCCCCCTGGCTTCTCGCCTGAGCCACTGCAGGCATGTGGCTGCATTTCCAGAATCAAAGGTAAATGTCTGTTCACTTCCATTTCAATTTAATCTGTGCAGCTTAGACGAACCTGCAAAGACTGAATTGATTCAGCCTCGGGCTTTTTGATTGACTGTACTTAGCCAAAAAGATTAAGGTCTGACATAATGAAGAATTGTAACTTCACTTTAACTTATATTCAAGTTAAGAAAAATACTTAACATGGCTTAAACATGGCTGTAAGCCAAAAACACAGTTACGATGGTCACGATAGATGAGCCAAATCACATCTGAAAAACTGCTTTGACAGTAGTAAGAACCCATGTTTAAATATGTCTTTTGTACTTCATTTGTAAGGCCAATACAGAAAGGGCTTCTAGCACTCTTCCCTTTACACACAGTTTCTGTGAAGGCATCCAACACACTGAATCCTTAGCAGCTTCTCTCAGGCCTGTCTTCAAATGATCAAAACAATGTCCAATGGATAATTCAGAACTAAATTCTGTTGAGTCATAGGAGGTCAACTATAAGTAAGGGCCTGATTTCTCCCATAATGATATAATGCATCATTAGGATATTAGGTCTGGATTTTCAGGCAGAGTTTTCACTCAGCCTAGACTATAGGCCTCTTGGTTTTTAATTTAGGTGTTTTGCATTCTTTCCCAAGTTGTCTCTAGACATTTTAATTACTCTAAGTCTTTCTTCTGCTCCATTTGAGAATTCTCCTGTCATAATTCAGAGATAAAAATAAGGGTGCCTTACCTGAACTCTTACTTGTTGCAAAACCGAACCATCCCGTGAAGATTCTGAAGAATTCAGATAAGCATCATCTCACTTTGGGTTTCTATCTAGGCTAGGGGTGCACCGATAGAGATTTTTGGGGCCAATACCAACAGCCAATTTTTAATAAGCCATATCAGTCAATACCCATCTGATTCCAATATGCAACTCAGTAGCGTGGAGAGTGGCATCTGACTGGTAAATTTGTTGTGGGGAAGGGAGAGGGGGCAGATCAAGGCCCCTGCAGTGAGGGAGGGAGTGGGGCTGGCACTGGGGCAGGCACTGCACAGCTGAGGCAGAGTATAGGATGGAGCTGCGAGCAGCTTATAAGGTGGGGGGCACAGGGAGCGGGCAGCTTCCACTGCTGCATGCATCTGGGAGGGCACATGCCCCCAAATCTATGTACAGAGTGCTGGCGAGCTGCTGCTGCGGGCCAGGGCTGGGCTGGTGCTGGGCTCTTTCCAGCAGGGGGCTGGGCCAGGCTGTGCTTGGGGTGGGTGATGGCAGCACTTGGGGGGAGGTTGGGGAGCTATGGCAAATTTCGGGGTGGCTTAACCCCCCCCCCCCACAACCCACCCTCCCAGCGCCACCACTACCTACTCTGAACACAGCCTGGCCCAGCCCCTGCCGGGAAGAGCCTGGCACCATCCTGGCCCCAGGCCATAGCAGCAGCCCACCCTCACCCCACACGCAGATCCAGGAGCACGCCCCCCCATACTCTCCCGGGGTGCACACAGCAGCAGGAGCTGCCTCCCCCCTCTCTCCACACCCCCCAGATGAGCCTCAGCTCCGTCCCATGCCCTACCCCACCCTGGCAGGCAATGCCTGCCCCTGCCCCAGCCTCACTCCCTCCCTCACTGCAGAGGCTTCAATCTGCCCTCTGCCTTCCTTCCTGTGCAACAGACTTACCAATGGGACCTGGGTGCTCTCCATGCTGCTAGGCTGCACTCCTGGCCGCCTGGGTGACGTGCTGTGGCTGTGCGCATGCACGTGGCATTTATTAGCCACATTAAATCGGCCACATCAGACAAAAAAGCCAGTTACCAATACTCTCAATTTTCCTCATATTGGTTCCGATTCGATATGGGACTGATGTATCAGTGCACCTCTAACCTAGACTGTCAACAATAAAATATTACGCCAAAGAGACTATTCTCGAGATTCTGTATCTAGCTTTGCCAGTTCAAGAGGTTAACTAGTTCAGACATATAAATCAAAAGTCTTGGTGTTTAAGTGAAATTGGTCCTAAACTTTGAGGTCCGCTCACCTAGAAGCTTCGTAAGATACAGGCTCTCAAAGAACAAAATCAGTTTCTTTCACTGTGCTCTATAGTTACTTCTGCAGTCAAAAAGGGTGAGTAATTTGTGGCTACAAGACTAAACTTAAGTGAAAAAATGCACAGGCAGGCACACAGCTTTGTCATTATATAAACACATTACTCCTTTGAAATCTGCTCAGCTTATTTAGGTTCATCTAAGCCCCTCGGCTTTTCCTACTGTAATCACATTTAACAGATCTAGACCATGGTTTATACACTTTTAATCACTATCAGTACGAACAGTCCAGGTTTTAATCCCATTTTTCAGAGGCAGTTGTCAAATGAAACATTCTTTCGCAGGATTTTCCTCCTTTAGCCTCTCCAATACTGATCTTGCAATTAGATCTGCGATGGGTGGCTCTTGCATGCTTGGAGCTCCATTGTTTTAAGCAGAGTTCTGTGCTAGAAGTCTCTGGGACAGATCCAATTGCAAAAAAGAGGAGCTGTAAATATTACCCGAATAGACCTAAGACTCCTCGCAACCAGTAAATTAACTTTCCAGGATTTTATTTAAAGCTTGGAAAAAAACAGAAGAGATTAGTCTTAACAAATTCAAAGTTCATTTGCACTCCTAACTTCATAGTTTAAGTGTATGCTTCCCGCTCTGCCTTGGGTATGTTGATGTTTACATTTTAAATATTTTTTAGCAGCACCCAGGACATTAAAAGGACCTGCACCCAGTAACTCAGGTATCCTGTGCCACTGTCTGGGATAGAAGGGATTAAGAGTTATTAAACATTTATAGACAACCTGGCCAAAACTGAATGGCTCTGTTCAGAAAACAATGGCAGAAGGACTCTGCATGCCTTCAGTAAAAGCAGCTTCCCAGGCCAGACTCTGCTGAAATAAATTTGCTAGTCTTTGCTGCCGCTGGGGAAGTTCATGGTTTAAGAATCTGCGCAGAACAGAATTACCGCAGCGGGCAGCAGTGAAACGATTTAAAATACTCCTTTGAATTGGCAAAATTTTCCTTCCCGTCTCCCTTGGCCTTGTTCTGTTCCACAGGAAACTTGTATACCTGCTACCCTTGCTATTAAAGATCTCAAAGTAGCCAATTAGTCTGCTCTTCTGTAGTACCCCAACCACTTGGTTCTCCTAATAACAAAGCATTTTAATGAAGTGCCTCTGAGCCTCAAAGCGGTAGGCACGAAAGGGTTAACTCAGCCACATTAAATCAAGCTAGGAGCATTCCAGAGGAATGCCATTCTGCAGCGGGGCTGTAAAATGAATAGCTCTCCCTACATATGTTCCTTCTAGGCAACAGAGAAAGAAAAAACCACTTGTATTTTAAATCCAGCATCAGTAACTCACTTTGCAGGACACAGCCAGGAATGGTCAGAAACCCACAGGTGGATAACGCTAAGATTTGTGTGGACGTCCGCACAAAAAAGCAATACATGCTGCGTTACCTCTGAAAGTTGTATTTGGCCTTAGGTACAGCCATGCCACAACTTCACCACCTGCTTCAGAGCGAAGCATTTCACAATTTTAGCAGCTGAACCTGTCCCCCTCTCGCACACAACCGCACGGTTACACACAAGGGTAAAGCATAAAAAACCTACAGTCTTAAGTATTCTGGGTATTGATCTATATCAAGCTGTAAAAACAGGAGGTATTAGTGGTCTCTTAGGAGCCTGCTGTAAAAGCAATTGCAACTGCAATTAACAACAGCATATCCTGGGATAGAGAAGATCTAACCAGAAGCTAATTAGGAGGGCAAACACTGAGGCTTGTTAGCTGAGATGCTAATGAGAATTATACTTGAGTGGCAGCAGACTAGCTATTCAGAGTTAATTAGAAACCTCAGCTGATAGCATATTGCGCTTAAGAGCTTTCAAAACAAACAACTGGAAAAAGCTGTCCTGCAGCTAAGGATACTACACACAGCTTTGGGGGACTCCTGGGCACAGGAAGCAGCAAAAAACACCCCAAAAACCCGCCGTTCTAAGAAATCATGGGAATTTTGCAGTACCTGGGGAAGATAAAGAGCAGGCTCAGGAGGTATGTGCTCTCATATTTTCTGGGGTAATTTTGTTCTGTGGTGACGGATTCACATGCTGCACTGGCCTGTCATTTCTGTAGCCTTGCTAGTAAGTGTGAAATTGCACAAGAAGCAAAGTTCAAAGTTTACTGTGCATCCCAGATACCAGCATGGCTCGTGTGTACAAATGGACAAAAACCTTGGACCTTTTAAATATCCCACCCAGAAGCTTTTCACTTTCCAGCTCCCAGCAAGGGGAAGATTTCTGATGTCAGCTATAACAGGGTGAAACAACAGCTGTGCGCATGTTGTTGCTACCACGCCTCCTGCTTTCCCTACTCACTGGATTGCATTACTCTCTCCCTCCTTTGTACACTTATGAGGTTTCCAAAAAAAAAAAAATAAAAAATCAGTTATCTTGATTGTAAAAGGTAATATTCCTGTAATGTGGATTGTGGCCTTACCTGGGCTGAGTTGCATGGCTGATTCCTGCTATAAACAGAACACTGCGAGGCAGGCAGAGGACTGTGTGTTTAAATGTTTCCTCTGTGTCTGATTGGAAGAGGAATAGCCAGTCACAGGACAGAGCAGAGCCGGCCAAACTCCAAAGTAGGCTGATTGTTTCAAGAACAGATTGGATACTGTAAAACCTGCATGCTTGTTTGCAGAGCGCTTAAATACGGGACAATATGCTAGTGTCATTTTAGAACTCATCAGTGGTATTTTCAGCGCAACCGAGATCCTGCCCATATTGCAAGTTGCACCAGTTCAGACAAAATCTGTTTTTGAATGTATTTATTAAAAATAATGCAAACCCATGTGGATATTCAAATTTACTTAGCTGTAGTTATCAAAGCAAACTTTAAATCACTGCAAGACTGATCTATATCAAACAGTATGGGTGTATCCAAAGAGAGTTTTATACCAGTGTAGTTAAAATGATTTAAAAAGAAATAACTTCAGGCAAATAAGCATAACCTTTCATACGGACAAAGCATTATAGTCACTCAGGCCATGATTAGGTTTCTGATAACAGGGAACATCAAATAAAGTCTAAGGCCAGGTTGATGCTCATACAAAATAGGCATCCCAAAACATGCGGCATCTTTTAAAACATCGTTCCGTATTTGTGCAGCCACTTACGCTTGCTGCAAAGGAAGCAAGAGTAAAAGTGAATGCAATTATAACTGGTAAAACTGCCAATTCTGAGAAACAATTGGTTTCTTAGAACTAATGGGCACTTTTAGGTGTGCTCCAGGTGTGTGTGTTGGGGGGGGGGCACTTTAATTACAGTGGCTCCGAGAGCCGATCTAATTAAAAGATATCACTGCATCTCCTGAATTGGCATGCACCCCATGCAGAACCACAGGCAGTGAGTGTCTGGGCACCACATGCTACCCCTGCCGCTGGCTGGGGCGGTAGCGCAGTGTGGTGGACCAGCGCTGCTCTCCAGCAGCATGAAGCACAGCGCAGCTCTGGCCCGGGCCATGCTACAGATAGCAGGAGGGTGAAGGGCTCCAAGCTTGGTCTCAGCTGGGCCAGAGCACAGCAGCTGCAACAGCTCTGGCTCATGTGGGTGATGACAGAGCAAGTCTGGTCCTGGCATGGGCTGGAGAGTGGAGGAGGGGAGACCTGTGCCACCCCCTGCCCTGGGCTGGGGCTCCCATACTGCACCAGGTGGCCTGGCCCTGGCGCCCCCCAGGCAGTATCTCTCAGCTGCCCTGCCCCTGACAACATAGGCACTGGCCCCAGTGCCGCCAACCCAATCACGCAGCTCTCCACCACCCCTGAAGGGGCCCCCCCCACCCCCTTCCTGCACTGGAGAGGCTGGTGCCACCCCC